CGGACCGGTGGTTGGGGACCCGTGTTGTAGAGTCTTATTTTCTCCAGATAGTTGAAGCTACAAAGGGCAGATATGAGCCACTGTCATAACACAGTTTACTATCTCGGTAATCTATGAATGGCAATAAAATGTTTGCTTTCTTGCACTTGTTGAACCTGGCTCTTGGCTTCCTTAGAAACTTTAAGTTATAATAATGTCTATGGGGTTTAGAAACTGGCCTGTAAATTAAGCACATTGTATAGTACATGTTTGTGTCCTCAGGCTGCGCCCATACACTGTATACACTTTTAGTTGATAGGTATGCAATTTATGATGGCTTGAAAGGTAGTCTCTAGATTAGTAATCTTTTGTCAGCATCTGTATAGTACATGTATAGTACATGTTTGTGTCCTCAGGCTGTGCCCATACACTATATACACTTTTAGTTGATAGGTATGCAATTTATGATGGCTTGAAAGGTAGTCTCTAGATTAGTAATCTTTTGTCAGCATCTGACAAAAATGACAGAATGGTGATAACACTGTGTAGTGTTGCTACACTGTCCCTGTCACTTTACAAAACATAGGCAAGCATTGCTGACCAACGCCACAACGAGTAGCAGAAGTTGGTATGTGGGTCTATCTGATGGTGACCGTAGTATAGTGAAGACTGTGTCCTGCAGTATAACAAGAAGAATGAAGATGACAAGTACAGATTAAATTAAACTGAAGAAAAAAATCGGGTGAACTTTGTGAATCGAAGAGAAAATGAAAGGCTTTAATAGGACTGAAGAAAACTGGTCGGAATACACAAACTGGAAATTTGTAATTAGATTTTTACATCACTACCATCATGGACTATTGGCAGTATAATAAAAGAATAATCAGTAATCAATATAATCAATAAAAATTCAACAAAAATGTAAAACAAGCTAATATGTTTTTCAACTTGTTAAGCCCCCCCCCAAATTTTTTTTACTTAGTTTGGAAATGCTAACAAGGTTGGAGCAAATCTGATTTACAGGAGAGCCATTCCATAATGTAAGGAAAGGCCTTAAAACTGAACTATTTGATGCACAGTTCTCTGGACTGTTCCTGAAAACTATTCAGAAAGTTCAGATAGCATAAAATGTAATGGCTCATTTTTGCAGGTGAGAGCCATTTTACCAATGTTACAATGATACTGCAAATACTGTGGGTAGATATTGTGTGGGCTATGAGGAATGAGATTGGTATAAACTAGGTCTCTCTCTCTCTCTCTCTCTCTCTCTCTCTCTCTCTCTCTCTCTCTCACTCACTCACTCACTCACTCTCACTCTCTGTCACACACACACACACACACACTTAAGTCTTCCTTATTCTGTTTTGTATAATATTGCATACAATATGTCAAAAGGGGAATATCATGATGGGGACACAGACACACACACACACACACACACACACAAGTGTTTTGCAAAGGTTTTTATTACTGTTTTACTTTACTCAAGGACTGAATCATTTTCTTTGGTGCGTACTATTTTTCTCCTTCCATCTAAAATAATATTAAACAGCACTTGAATACAGGAAATATAATTTATTTCTAATCTAGTAAATCCTTGTCCTTGGAATGAAGATTTTTGTTATCCTAAAGCATTATCTGCATGTTGAGCGCTACCCTATATCAAAAGCCTCTTAGAAAAGAAACAGAAATTAGTGGGTTAGGCTACATTTTTTTCTGTTAGGGATTTTTGCTTTTAGAAATAGTTTGTTTTTGTTTTATTTTCCATGTTGAAGAACATTCAAGATTGCTATTTCTCAACTGCAAAGCTTGATGTTAGATCAGTGGTGGATCGGGTCGAATGAGACGCGAGACCATTCTGTGAGT